TAAAAGTGAACCTAAAATGGCCGCCGTAATGACGTCTTCTTCTATGGTTTCCAGGAGCGCTGAGCAGATGCAGTCGTGGATCACCAGGATCAACGCCGTGGCGGCCATGTTCTCTGCTCCTCCGTTCCCGGCCGCCATCGGCTCCCAGAAACGCTTCAGCCGCCCGCTGCTGCCGGGGTCCAACACCAAGCTGACCCAGGTAGCGACCAGAACCCGACCGGAACCCTTCGGGTCCTGGTTCCGTCCTCACCGTGTCTCTCTGTCCAGGATGAGCAGCTCCAGGCCCATGAGAACCGGTTCCGGGCGGTTTCCTCGGAGCTGACGGAGCTCGCCGCCGCCACGCCCGACCGCAGGGTCAAAGGTCGTGAGCTGGAGGAACAGAAGCTGCGGAGGGAATACCTGGAGTTCGAGGTGAGCTGTCGGGTTCTGGTTCTGGTTCTGGTTCTGAACTCCTCAGGTTGGAGACCAACAGCAGAATCACCGGGTCCAACCGGGTCGGAACGATTCTGAACAGGTCCAAATGGTTCTGGTGGATCCAATCAAAACCTCCCGAATGTTCTGAACGCTGGAGCAGGACGGGTCGGCAGAACCGGGCCAGAGAGGAGAAAACACCTTCTGCTGAGCGCCAGATGGTCCGACAGAACCGGCAGCCGGTTACCATGGTAACAAGCTGCCACCGCCAGGACACGGAGGAGACGAGCGGTCCAATCAGAACCAGAACCTTAGAGGTGTAATTCTAGGATCTGGGTCAGGAAAATTCTGCTTTCTGTGACCCGGTTCTGATCTGGTTCTGACGGACCAGATACTGAAGTTTCACCAGAACCAGAACCCGCTGCTGACCGGTTCTGCTCTTCTCTCCTGCAGAAGACGCGGTACGGGACGTACGCCATGCTGCTGCGGGCCAAGATGGCGGACGGCGGCGCCGACCTGGCCGCCTTCGAGGCGCGGCTCTGCGGCGACACCGGCCTGCAGAGGGCGCACTCCAGCCCCTCGCTGCCCCAAGATGCCCAGGACAAGAGCCGCGGCGCCAAGACGTCCCGCAGCCTGAAGGCCACGCCCTCCTCGTCCTCATCCTCGGTGACGAAGAGTGGCGCCAAGGAGGGGGCGGGGCCAAAGAACGGCCACAGGACGGAGCTTCAGAAGCAGAGCAGCAAGCAGGAGGAGACGGCGTAACGTTCAGGCGCCGTCGGACAAAACGCTGAGGAACTTTGCTCCCAGCGAGACGTTCAAGAACGGTGGGAAAACAGACGCTCATCCAGGAAGCACTTCCAGCCGCTGGCCTTTCACAGTAAAAGCTTTATTTCAGGGCAGCGAACTGAGAGTGGCGCGTTCAAGATCACCAACGCATCAGAGGAAATTATAGTTGCATCGTCTCAGATGGAACTTGAGAGGAAACAACCGACCAGAACCAGAACTTTCCTGTCTCCTTCCTTCAGGTTCTGCTGGAGACAAACAAGAAGTACGGAGAACCATTAGGGACAAAAAAACTGATCCCCATTTTAACCTGCAGATCAGTCCAACTGATGCAGAACCTCCAGTTCCGGTCTGGATTCTGGACCCGGCTCAGAGTAAAAATGTTCCAGATGTGAAATTCATTCACAGAATTTTAATTGGATCCTGAATTCAACCAAAGATCCTCTGTGCTGGAAGATGTCTCACTTCTGTTTTTATTTGACCAGATTCTGTGTGTGTGTGTGTGTGTGTGTGTGTGTGGTGTGTGTGTGTGTGTGTGTGTTTGTTCGTTCATTGTCCAGGCTGTGGTTCTCTGATGCTGCCACTGGGGGGCGACAGTCAGTCGTACTGGATCAGAACCAGAACCAACGTTTGATGTTTTAGGCCGAAGAATCAGGAAAGCTCACAGAACTGATCATCAGTATCAGTATGAAAGTTTTCTGGTTCTGATCCGCCTCCAACTGGCAGCACAGGGAACTGGATCAGAACCAAACTCTTCAAGAGTCAGGTTCTTTTCTTTGACCCATCAGAACCAAACTGGGTTCTGTTCAGATTCAGACTGGATCAGAACCAGTAAGTGTCGAGACCAACCCGTCCTCTTCCTCAGGCTGCAGTTGAAGACCAAGACCGGTTCTGGTCGGTCCAGAGCGAACGGAGTCACTGCAGTACCAGAACTCTGCAATTTCTGGTTCTGTGTAAATAAGTCGGACCGGATCCGACCGGACGTCAGAAATTTGTTGTAAATAAAGTTGGACCTTCAGAACCAGAAGAAGCCATACAGCCGCACTTTGCTTTGAGTCAGAACCAGGTCGAATCGGACCGGAACCGGCCTGTGTTGTACAGATGTACCTTTCCGTCTCGAACCATTGAGCAAAATAAAAACATGGACCGGAACCGAACATCTGGGTCGGGTTTTTATTCCAGTCAGTTCTGTTCAGACAGGTCCAAATGGACCAGAAGTTCCTGTTCAGTGAGGTCCAGTAGGACGAAATAGATTTTCCTTCAATTTAGACAAATTTAATTTGAAAATAAAAAATTCTTAATTTCAGTTTTTTTTCCAAGTTGACTGATTTTTTTGTCTTGTTTTGGAAACGAGATATTTTGGATTTTTTTCTCTTTTGTTACCTGCAGAGATCTTCTATTGAACAGCAGCGCACTCGGTTACATAAATGGGATTAGAAATCTGATGATCAGCTGGTCTAAAACCAGTTTAGGAACAATAAACTTCAGCCAAGTCAGAAAATTACCTCAAACACCTCTTTATGAGCAGCATCAGAGGTCAAAGGTCAGCTGATTCCTGCTTGAGTTCTGTCCTTCCCTAAAGGATTGGTGTAATTGCGAGTGACGGCCAGTAGGTGGAGCTCTGCTCAGCATTGCTCTCCTGCTGCTTTCCTCAGAACCGGAAGTTCTGATGTTTCCAGAACCCGTTTTCCTCCAAGAGGTTCTGATGGCTCTACAGAGGACCGGTCCAGAGCTGGACACGCCTGTCTATGTCCAGCCACAGCGCCTCCTGCAGGTCAGATACTGACGGCTCAGCTTCCCAACAACCAACTGAAAGACGCGCCGTCCCTTTAAATCTCTACAGTTTAACAGCATTTATTCTCAAAGGAAACATTTTTACAACATTAAACATGATTTTGGCATCAATGGTCTTCTACACCTGACAGGTGAGTCAACAAGGTGCGGCGCTGCATTCAAACACCCCACAGAAACCAGAAAATTCCAGTTTTTGTCTCAGTTTTTTTGATATGAAGACGAATGAAACCAAAGGACGTTAAAATATAAATAAAAGTCAAAGTTCCAGTTTCTGCTGAATCAGCTCAGGATGATGATGATGATGATGAAGGGGGGTTGTTGATCCGATTTGCAGCATTTTTCTCCACTTTGCAGCATTTCTGTCTCCAGCGCAGAACAAACTTGTCTTCATCAGCTGATCCTTCCTCAGCAGTCACATGACCCCATTGCTGCTCATTGATTGGTCATTGCCTCCTCCTGCTGCTCCTCCATTGGCTGGCTGCTGAAGCCGCTGTCCACCGTGGCGTCTGATTGGACAAATACCAGGAAGTCGGGAACATTTCTCAGACCATATTAAGTTCATGCTAACCCTGCTGATGGTCTCTCCTTAGCGGAACCAGAATGGGTCAGTATCTGGACTCAGTCTGACTGTCATTGTGGGCCCTTTGGTTCTGGTTCTGTGTGGGTTCTGACCCGTCAGACCTACCTGAGCTGTGCTTGTCGTCTTGCAGCTCCGTGTTCCTCAGCAGCCGGACTCCCTCCGTCAGCCCCAGAGCCTGCAGCGCCTCCACCAGGCCTTCAACCGGACCTCCACCCAGCTGCAGCACAGAGACACATGTAGTGAATGGGTCAGGACCGGATCGGTCAGAGCCGGGTCGGTCAGAGCCGGGTCAGGACCGGGCGGGTACCTTGTAGTGCTGCAGCAGGTGCTGGCAGGGCGTGGCGCTGTCCTCGTACAGGTGCGTCAGCGTCATCATGCCCAGCTTCTCGGCCAGCTTCATCCAGGGAACGTCGCCGACGCTCAGAACCGCCACCAGCCGGCTCAGCGTCTCCTCGTCCAATCCCGACCGCTCGCCATCTGCGGCAGCCGAACGTTAGGCGGGGTCACATGACACAGGTTACCTGCCAGGTGGGGCACCGACCTTCGCTGCCGGTCCGGATCTTTTTGTCGGCGTGGCGACTGGGTTTCGGGCTCCTCTTGGAGGTCAGCAGGTTCCTCACCTGGAGGAACAGTGGCAGGTGAGACACGCCCACAGCCCCGCCCCGTCTTACTTGTCTTACCTTCTGACAAGTGGCCAGGTCCAGGGGGTGTGGCCTCTGGCCCGCCTCTTCCGGCTGATGACTGGCTGCGCGTCGTCTCCTCTGACTGGTTCGTCCGGGTCCGCCTCCTCGTCTGACGAGCTGAAGTACAGCGGCTCGTCGTTCTCCATGTTCTTATCGGCACCTGAAACAGGAGACGCTCACAGGTCACCTGCAGCTGGACAGAACCTGGTCCTCCAGGTGAACCTGGAGTTCCCTCACCTGCAGCGATCAGCATGGAGCAGAGCGTGGGGAACCCCAGGCTGGCCGCCAGGTGCAGCGGCGTGTTTCCTCCGAAGGTGCAGTGTTGACGTCGGCCTTCAGCTGCAGAGCAGACGCGGCGTTAGCAGACGCAGCGTTAGCAGACGCGGCGTTAGCAGACGCGGCTCAGGTGGAAACGAGGCCCGGCCCTTCCTGTCGGCTGCTTACCTCAGTGATGAGCGTGCAGGCCACTTTGAACAGGTTCTCTCTGACGGCCAGTGCAGCGGCGTGTTCCCGCTCTTCAGCTCGGCGGCGTTGATCTTGGCTCCGCCCTCTACCAGCAGGCGGAGGCAGCGCTCGCCGTCCCTCCTGACGGCCAGGTGGAGCGGCTGCAGACCTGCGGACACACAGCCACAGCTCAGCGCCTCGCCAACGCGTCAGGTTCGGCTCTGGCTCCGCCCCTCACCGTGGTAGTCCGGCGTGTTCACCAGGTGTGCGTGGCGCTCTCCCAGGTGGGCCAGCAGGAGGCGCAGCGTGGCCAAGTCTCCGGCCAAGCAGCCAGGTGAAGCGGGCTGCGGCCATCTTTGTCCACCAGGGTGGGGTCGGCCCCCGCCCGCAGCAGCACCTCCGCTACCTTCAGTTGCCGTGTGATGACCGCCAGGTGGAGCGGCGTCTGTGGAGTGGGCGGAGTCAGGACATCAGCTGGCCATCAGGACTAGCATAGCATATCTTGTGTAGCTAGCATAGCATAGCTAGTGTAGAAATGTAGCCTAGCGTAGCTAGCCTAGCGTAGCAGGCTACCTGCTGCAGGTGGTTGCAGGTGTTGAGCGCGGCGCGCTGCTGGCTGCTCAGCAGCGTCTGGATCAGCTGCTGGATGACGGCCGTCTGCTGGTGGATGATGGCCAGGTGCAGCGGCCTGTGGGACACCGGCAGTTAGACCGGTCCGTCCGGACCAGAACCAGCGAGGTGTGGTGGGACTCACGTGTCTCCGTTGGCATCCTGGATGCCACACAGGTGTCTCTGCAGCGCCAGCAGGACGCGGGCGTCTCCGGTGCTGCAGTACTGCAGCAGGGCGGCGGCTGTCTGCCGGGCGCTCTGCGACACCCGGCTGCTGAGGGAGGCGGCTGGAGACACGGGCCGGGTCAGAACCAAAACCACGGAACAGAACCGGCCGCGTTTCGGTGCTGCACACTCACCGATCCGAAGCAGCTGCTGCTGCACAGCCAAGCCTGGCTGGCCCTCACTCTGCTGGGGGGCGGAGCCTGACGTCGGAGGGGCGGAGCCTGACATCTGGGCTCCTCCCCTGAGGTGAAGCCCGTGAAGGATCCGGTGTAGAAAGCTCCGCCTCCTGGTCCTCCGTTCATCTGGGAGAACTGGAAACCTGAAGAGAGACGAGCCGTTAGACACCAGAATCAGAACCTCGCCAGGTCCAAGCATGGATCCCAAACGGTTCTGTTTCTGTCCCGTTTGGGTTCTGGAAGATTCCTCTGAGTTTGTCCCACTCTGAACCAGAGGACTGTCCTCTGGTTCTGGTTCTGATCTGTCTCTCTGCACCGCACCTGGTCCTCCCGGTCCTGATCCAAAGCCGCCAGCGCCGGGCCCTCCGTCGCGCCCTCGCCCTCCTCTCCAAGAGTCGTAGTGCGGCAGCGGCTTCTGCTTCTTCCTCAGGACTTCCTCTTTGTCTGAAACGCAGCAGGCGTCATGGAAGCGCTGTGGGCGGAGCCTGGCCTCCATGGTAACCGGACGGACTCACCTTGGACCTGCGGGACGTAGGTGAACTGCTTGGGGTCGCTGCTGTCGCCGGCCTTCTTGCGGCGCAGCTGCAGGAAGACGGTGACGGGCCGGTCGATCTCGGCGCTGTGGTACGGAGGCGTCTTGAACACGATGGCGTACTGCAGACAGGAAGTGACGCGTGTCACTGTGGTGGTTTGACCTCTGACCTTCACAGGTTCTTATCTGACTTTCAACTCAATAAAACTGAAAACTAAAAATGTTTAAAAATGTTTTTATTTCACAAATCATTTTTCAAGCCCTTTTTTCAATATAATTTTTTATTTCCAAAATATTTATCATGTTAAATTTTCTTTGTGTTTCAAAATAATTCTTCAGGTTTCCAGGTTCAGAAATGTTTTTTGAGCCTTTTGTAGCTCCGTAGCTGCAGACCTGCTTGTGGACGTCAGTCGGAGAGAAGTCCCCGAAGGCCTCCCAGCACCCGTCCTCGTCTTCCTCGTAGAAACGGATCTCGATGTCGTCTGAGGAGACGGACAGGTGAGAGACGGTCATTGGTCGACCGGCGACCCGACCACGAAGCGTCCCTCACCTTTCTGGACTTTGTCACACAGCAGGAAGATCTCGTCTCCTCCCAGAACCGATCCACACGTCTTGTCCATGCGCGAGATCTTCAGGTTGGACGCGTTGGGAGACTCTGCAGGGAAACGGGTCAGAGTGTGGCCAGCAGGGGGCGCCGCGTGTGTGTGTGGGTGAGAGTGTGTGTGTGTTAATGTGTGTTTGTGTGTTAATGTGTGTGTGTGTCTGTGTGTGTTAATGTGTGTGTGTGTTAATGTGTGTGTGTTAATGTGTGTGTGTGTGTGTGTTAATGTGTGTGTGTGTGTGTGTGTGTGTGTGTGTGTGTGTGTGTGTTAATGTGTGTGTGTGTGTGTTAATGTGTGTGTGTTAATGTGTGTGTGTGTGTGTGTTAATGTGTGTGTGTGTGTGTGTGTGTGTGTGTGTGTGTGTGTGTTAATGTGTGTGTGTGTGTGTTAATGTGTGTGTGTGAGGCTCACTGCTGTCGTAGATGGGATTGGACACCACGGTTTCAGCGCCCTGGTGAAGCCGCCGTTGCTGTCCTGCAGGAAGGCGGTGAAACGGAGACGGACGATGTTCAGGTCCATGACCTTGCCAGCTCCTTGGCCTCCTTCAAGATGGACGACTCCTCGCCGTCTGCAGGGACGCAGGGACGTCAGAGACAATGGGGACGTCCAGATGTGTGTGTCCAGGTGTGTGTGCGTACCTGTGAGCGGACAGTGAGTTCCT